ATATAAGACCTGTTCTAATCTGCACTCTGAAAAAATTCTCAAACTGTCTACTTCAGTCAGTGCAACCCCCTTATTTTTTTAAATCATCTTTTTCAAAACCTATGCTTATGATTCTTTTGCACATGTTTTATATTTCTACAGATCACAGAATCAAGAAGTACCAGAGTTGGAAGAATTTTAAGAGTATTTTCCAAAGCATGTACCATACATGGTAAGCAAGATGATGTCAGGTGGTATGTGTTAGTATTATAGATTTTAATTGTCTTTTTTTTGTTGTTTAATGTATATTTTCACTCCCCTCAAAAATTTCTGATTGTATGACACCAAGTGATCAACATATAATTGTTTCTTGATCACAATCTCATTTATCAAACCAACAGTAAGCAATGGTAATGTCTTAAAGTATTAGTGTTCTTCCACAAGGATAGGTGCATAACAGATCAATAATGCCGTGATTATGTGGTTAGACTGTTTCCAGCCACTGAGAGCACAAGAGGAAATTCCATGTTGGCTCAAACAAAACAATCATACTATATTCTAAGGCCAAAGTTAGAATTAATTCCTGTTTGCATTATTCATATCACTATCTCCTCTCATGAATAAATAAGGAACCAGGAGCTGGTATACATATAGATCCCAGAAATTATACAATATATACATACAGAGAATATATCCAGGAAACAACTCAAGTAGGTCAACTAACAATGATCTTAGAATTGTGCTATTACCCAAATCTCTCATTTAACATCTGAGGAAAATGAGACTCAGTGTAGTAAAATGACTTGCCCACAATCATACAATTAGTTAATGGCAGTGCCAGCTCTAGTCTGAGTTCACTTTTCCTGCTTTCCATGGATTCAACTCAAATAGTAGGGGAATATATCTAAATTCTTCCATTATGCTAGTACAAATTCTGCGTAAGGTGAGATGGGATTTGAAAATCTTTTCATTAAGCAGAAATTCTGCTTATGATGGATTACAGACTAGTAATGAAATTAACTTTGTCTAATAATGCTGGTCTGTCTGCCTGACAAAATTACTCCAATGCGGGCTCTCTTGTCCCCTCCTGGCGTGAGCCAGGAGCTCTATTCTTTCACTTTATTTCTAAATAAAAGCCTATACCTTGCTCTCCTAAAAAAAAAAAAAATTACTCCAATGCATAGTAGCCAATGTTACTCAATTGTTCTTCGTAGTGAAAAAAAGAGAACATTAATTGCAGGTAACCGTTCTCATTTTGTGTCCTTTTATGAAACCTGGGCATTTCAATACTCACATACTACTTTCCCACTATAGTCCTTGAAGTCAAAGAGAACTTGTAAATTTACCAGCTCTACCACTTAGGATATCACATTGGATACAAATTACTTCATCTCTCTGAATCAACTCTCAATTAAGATAGTAAGATAACACTATCCACCTCACAGGACTATCTAGAGTATTAAATGAGATAATACAGATAGTGCAGGACACTATACAGTTAAGTTAAAGGTTAACAGAGTAAGAAAAATGTCCATGTACGAGTTTGAAAGGTTTAAGGTTTGTAATGTCGACATGTTAATTCCTGTTCAACACATAATATAGCACATCTTAAATATTTACAAAGCATTCATTCTGTACATAGCTTAGAGATAGCAGTCCATAAATCTATAATCTGAAACTTAAATATCAAAAGAAGAAACAAATTCAGAAAAAATATTTCATGATTCATTTAAATACTAAAAAATAACACTTAGGTTCTAGTTTTATTTTTTTAAGTCCTTATCAGAGAAACAAGTTAAAGTACTTAAAAGTGAAATAACACAGTGTTTGGGAATTGCTTTAAAATATGCCAGTCTACCAACCCCTGTGCCAAAAATAAAGTGAAAGATAGCTGTAGCTGGGTGATGCATACATGGGTAGCCATCATACCTCTCTATTTGTGTATGTTTGAAATTTTCTGCATTAGGAAGTTCTGGTTTTTCTTAAATCTAACAAAAAAACACAAAAACTAAAAACAACTATGCATGTCACTAATAAATTTCTCCTAAGGAACCAATGTCTCTATCTGACACTTCTAACCCCAGGATACTTCTGGTCATTTTAGCCAAAACACATTAAGTGCTTTAAAATTATTCTCAACATAAAGCACTCTTAACTCATTACGAAATATGAACTAGAGAGCAGTACCTTCTTTTTTTGATACTATACTCATTCACCTAGTAGAAGAGCCCAAGGTGAATTTTTCTTTTCCCCTTAGACTTTCATATTTTTTGTAACTATAAAAACCAGAACTATAAACTAGTTCTATAAAACTAGAACTATAATATCTATCAGTTATGTATATACATACAATTAGGACAACTATTACACCTACTATTACAGAGGGCCCACTGGGTATACATGACTTTTTAAAAAGCATGACTCATCTGAAAGGGCTAAAAAAAAAAAAACAAAGAATCCCCCATATAACACATACCTTCAAAATAATGGCCAAGATGAGGAGGAAAAGTAGTGAACTATAGTCTATATGCAGTTTTACTACAGTTTACACATAGATTTTTAATTTGTTGGCATGTGATGCATTAAAGACAAAAGTATCAGTTGAAATTATTGAAAAGTAACCAGACACCTTTAAATAAATTTTGTGATTTATTACAAAATTTTGAACACCACACTAGAGAGAATCTTAAAATATTTGAACTTAAGACTTAACCCAACACTATATAATACTATACAAAAATGTTTATTATACTGCCATTTAAATACTCACATGCTTTTTTTCATAAGTCTAATAGCAAGTACACAGAGAATAATTCCCAAATGTGTATCCAAAGGGATAAAGAAACACATGTTTACTTTCCTATCAAATAGTCCTACTTACCAAAAAACAAATACAAAACATATTCCATAATTTCACTTCAAATATGCTTAGCTAGTTTACTTAATTACACTATGCTCTTCCACACACATAAATCAGGTTTAACTAATTCTCAAACTTGGTGGAATAAAATTCCCTTTTACTGTCTTTAAAAAAAATAATAAAGTAGTTTAAAAATAGCTTCACCTCCTGAAGAATATACAGTTGTTCATGGTACTCTTCTCTCAATCTTTACACATATAAAATGAGAGGAAAATGAATTAAATAGTAAATTTGGAAGCACCTGTCCCCCAAAATACTCCCTCCCTCCAATTTACATGACACCTTTTCTTTCTCTGGAGCATAAAGCTAACTCCATTAGTTTACTCATCTTCAATCAGCTGACAATATTTACACAGTCTCAGCACTATGGGTACTTGGAAAAGTCACAAAGAAAATACAGGACCTAATAACTATCCTCAAAGAGTTTAAATATCAACCCCAAAAAGGAAGAAAAAGTAGAACTGAAACAATATCCTTGCTGAGACTTACAGTCAAAGGTGGACCAGGGATTACATTTTCAAGATGGGTTCTTTACATTAAGTCATGAAAGATAAATACCTACTAAATTAAACAGACTCCGTAAGTGGTCAAATCTAAGTTGCTTATCGATTATCTACACTACTACAACTCCTACATGCATAACAAAAGAAGACTGCTCCTATAAGTGGAGGGTTTCCAAATGTCTCACGGGAAACAAAGAAAGAGACATGAACTCCTAGAATGGCCAATTTTTGCCACTTGCCCTAATAATGTCCTGTTTCTGCCACAAAACCACTAGCAAAGTGTTTGGTCACCAATAAAAGGATCTTCGTTTGAGGGAACAACACCTATATTATATCCTCAAAGACCAAATAGAAAATTCCAAAATGCTTGACAGAATTAAGAATCTCAGTTTTATCTATTAGAGGAGTAGCTGAAGAATAAAGAATAACAAGCAATTAACCTTTCCAGTTTTCAAGTTGTAGATGAGAAATCATCTAAGGCCCCACATTTCTGGTGGCCCTACCAACTTCCTTTCTTCTGTCTCCTGATAATGGAAGTCTTTTCCTCTTGTGAATTCCTCTGTATAGAATACTAGAGCAAACACTATAGAGGGATGAGGGGGGAAACTACCAATACTAGCAATTTTCTACAAGCCGGTGGTCTTCAAGACCCAAGACCATGAACACCCTAGACAATTCTGATGATACAGTTTTCCAGACAAAACTATCAGACAACAGCTTCATTCTGTCAACCTTTGGGCCTAATTCTATGTACCTAAACCTTTTAATAAAACAAAAAGTATCCCTACCAGATTTGCTGGCAAACTAATAACTGCCAAATATGCATCAAATATGCATTTATGTCTGCAGCATTAAATCTAGAGAAGAAATTCTGTCACTTAACTGAATCACATCAAATCTAGATTTCATTAAAAGGTACTGTTAAAATCATATACAGATGTCAGAAACCCAATCCACAAATACTGATTATGTATTACGGCTTCAAATGCCGGACCAACTTTTCAAGCCTTAGGGCTCTAAATCACTTGCAGTAATAGCTTAAACTTCTGATTCACTACAAATTGACCAAAATAAGTGACGGGAAAATATATACATATAAGCGTCAGCACCCTGTAGGTAATAAGAATTTGAGAATTACAAAAGAACGGGGTAAAGAGAATAAATTCAGCTGTGGACTACAACAAGCATCATATAGAACCCGAGTTACCTAAACAAACATTATCTACTGCCAATAAACAGGTCATTTTTATCGGCTTAAGTACGCCGACCATTTTTCAGGCTTAACAGGGTTGCTACAAGTTGTCCAAGTGGAAACGGATGGCAAAATACTAAGCAGGTCTTCGGCGAGGAGCCACTGTGCTTAGAGCAGCACACAAAAGCCCAGGGCAAACACCAACACGCTCAGGGCCTCCAGACCCCGGCGCTGGGGAGGGAAGGAGGGAGGGCGTGGGGTGGGGTGGGGTGGGGTCCTCCCCACGGAATGCGCCGGGAACTGGGGAGCGAGCGCGGCAGCCGACCCGCACCCGAGGCTTCGAGGCCGGCGACACCCGCGGGCCCGCACCAGGCCTGGCCCTCCCGGCTCCGTCCCGCCTCCTCACCTCCCTCACGTCCTGCAGGCACTCGAGCACCGCCAGGTTGTTGCTCCAGGTGTGCTTCGGACACACACGGGTCACGTCCTCCCTGCAGAACTCCTCCTCCGCCAGCTTCCAGCCCCCGCCGGCGCCGCCGGGGCCCGCTCCTCCGCGCCGGGCCGGAGGCCCACCCGCCGGGAAAGGCGGCTGCGGCGGCTGCTGAGGCGGCTGCTGCTGGTGCTGAGATGACTGAGGCAGCTGGAGCAGCTGCTGACCCGCCGGCCCGCCGCCTCCAAAGCCGGCCCCCTGGCCCTGGCCCTGGCCGTGGCCGCCCTGGTTCAGGAGTTTCTGGGCCCCGGCCGCCACGAGCAGCAGCAGCTGCAGCGCCGCCGACAAGCGGAACATCCTCCGTACACGTCCACACGCCGCCATCTTGGGTTCGCGGCGAGCTCGACGCACCAGCCGGCGCCGCGTATTTAAATAAGGGGGCGTGTCCGTGGGCGGGGCCCACTCGCGGCCCTGCCGGCCGCCGCCGACCGGCGAGCTGAGCCCGGAGGTGCCCACGTTGGAAGGGCCCACGCCCTGGACCTTAGCCGGCTGGAAAGCGGCGCTTTGTCGCGCGAGTCGCTGGTGCTTCGTAAAAAGCCTTGGTAGGGCGGCTTTGCCCGATTGTCGTCACAGAAAAATAAGAAGTAATTGGGTTGCCACAACCAACATGGCCGATATTGTGAGTCGCTCGTTCAGTGACTTCAAAAACAAAAAACTTTATGTGTGTAGTGGTGAACTTTACACGATCGGGTGTATTCCGGAACCGAAAGAACCTCTTCTTGCACCTCTTCCTGCACTCGTCCACCTGCCTCCGTAGTCTTTCTTACCCAGAAAGAAGACAGCATTAAATAAGGGTTAAGAGCACGGGTTCCGGGATAAGAAAATGCCTGGTTATAATTCTTATTCTTAGGCAGACTAGGCAAGTCCTTCAACTTTTCTGAGCTTCATTCTTTTCGTCTGAAAAAAGAGGAGGAGCTCTAATGTAAAGCAGAATTGTGACGATTGGTAATAAAAATGAAAGTGGCTGGTCCACAATATAGAACTAAAAAAGTTATAGTCAATATTATAAATAAATTGTGGTAAACCAGAGCTTAAGCTCATGTTTAAAGGAGAAGAAAATAACAAAACACAACTTTGAGGCCTCTGTAAGAATATATAATTTATCCTCCGTTTGCCCCATGGTCCCAAGCACAGAAGCCGGTGAGAATTATGCCTGGGCTTGCCTGCGTCTTGACTGGGTTTACTCCGCCTTCTCTCTTAACATCCTGACCCTCCCCCAAAGCAGCAGGCCGAGCGGATCCACAATAAAAGGCACTACGCTGCTGCCCTCTGTCTCTCTCTCTGTCTGTCTCTCTCTGTCTGTGTTCCCCTGCTCTCCCTGCTTTCTCTCCCTCTCTCTGCTCTCTGCTCTCTCTGTCCCGCTGCTCTCGTCTCTTGCGTGGGCCCGTGTCTCCTGAGTCCTTCTGGGTAAGGAGGGTCGCAGCGTGGTGCCTTTTATTGTGGCGGATCCGCTCGGCCTGTTGCCTTGGGGGGGGGGTCGGGATGTTTAGAGATAAAGCGGGGTAAACCCAGTCAAGACGCAGGCAAGCCCAGGCGTAATTCTCACCGGCTTATGTGCTTGGGACCATGGGGCAAAAGGAGGATAAATTACTATATTCTTACAGCCTCAACACAGATTGAGTCTGCTTCAGTAACTATTCTGGCTGACTTGCAATGTAGCATCTTCAGCAGCACTTTAGGAAGAGATTGGTTGTTTCACTTTCACATCAGTGACCTCTCCTTTTCCTTAGGAGAGATGATCTCTTATCAAAATGTCTTCTTCACATCCATTGTGTCATTTGAGCCAAGAGTCAGGCCTCAGTTGGGTTCTGATTTAACTGAGGAATGGTACAGAGATGGTAACAGTTATGCACAGCAGGATTAAATGACTTGCCCAGGATGAACTGTGCCAAACTGGGACCAGAATTCCTGGGGCTTCCACTGCCCTGGTGCACTCTTATCCCAAAAATCTGTACAGATTTCTGTGCATGTTGGGACATGAGGGCAGCTTGGGGCATGGATCCCAGTTGTTAATGCATGTTCAAAAATGCAGCTTCTGCTGTCCTGACCCACAGCTGGGCAGTGAGGACCAGATCAGATATAACTAGAACCTGAGAAGTCAAGTGGGATTCAAGGACCCCACAAGGAACCCCTAAGACAGAATATTCTGGGGGTACAAACTGCCCACTGTGACTGACCACAAGCCTCTATCTCTGGGAATGAGGACATGTTGGCCTCTCCACCAACACTTACTCCTGCCACTGCCATAAAATGGTCCTGAGGATGTTGCTGCTGACTTTGAGCATTGACTAAGGCAGCCCAGGGTCACCAGATAAATGTACATGTTCGTTAACGATACATGGCATTGGTAAGTCTCAAGCAGACAGGCAAAAGACATCACCAGAAATTCTTGAAAAGTCACTAGGGGCCATTAATTTTCCATAATGGGTCTGAATGTGCTCAGACAACAAGTGGAAGATTATTTCCAGTCAGTTTAAGGCTAGAAGTTGATAATCTGCTAAAATAAACCAGCAGCTGCATCTCAGCCTGCACTGAGGAAATCCTACACCCAGCCACAGATTGCCTCTGGAGAGAGGGAGGAGTATACATACCTATCTTGAAATCACAGTGACCAAGAAGAAACAGAGAGAAATCTGGGAACCTGGCCAGCTTGGGCGGTGTCAGGCAAGTCTACACTCTACCAAAAGCACAAGCCTCCAAGCCAGTGGGAAGACTGCTGACCTCACCTGGGTCTCCTGGCCTCACTGAACTTTTCAGTATAAAATAGAGTATCTCTATCACAAACTAGGAACTCACTGTACCTGTTACAGTAACCTTTATTTCTTAATCCTCACTTCCCTTATTCATTCAATAGATACGTCGTGTTTGGTTTGGTTTGATATGCCAGGTGTTACTGAAGAACTGGTTTATATGAGAGAGAAACAATAAGAAAGTAAACAAAGAGCAAGATAATTTCAGACAGTGTAAGTGCTAGGAAAAAAAATAAAAGATACAGTGTGAGTGAGGTATAGAGGGACTTACATAAAGGCAGCTAGGAAAAGGCTTTCTGATTGATAACTGAACTAAGAACCAAGGGATTGTAAACCTGAGATTAACCATGTGAGAAACTGGATCCAAAGGGGCCTTAGTCCATTTGGGCTGCTCTAACAAAATGCCAGACTGGATGGCTTATAAATAATGGAAATTTATTTCTCACAGGTCTGGAGGCTGGATGTCTGAGATAACGGAGCCAGCATGGTTGGGTTCTGGCGAAGACTCTCATCTGGGCTGCAGATTGCAGCCTTCTTGCTCTGTCCCCACACAGTGGAAGGGGCTAGGGAGCTCTTTGGGGTTCCATATTAGAACACTAATCCCATTCATGAGGACTCCACTCTCATGACCTAAGCACCTCCAAAAGGCCCCATCTCCCTAATACCATCACACTGGCAATCAGTATTTCAACATAGGAATTTTAGGGGAGGATACATCATTTAGACCATAGCAGAAATGTCCTAAAAGCAGAGGGTAACAATAAATTCAAAACACTGACACGGGGATAAACATTCAAAATAAAAGCCCATGGGGCTGAAGTGAATTGAGAAAAGAGGGGAATAGAAGGAGTCAGAGAACTGGTCAAAGATCAGATCATATTCGGCCTTATATACACACGTAAGTGGTAAGGATTCTGATTCCTACCATGACTATAAATTTGTATTTCCACTGAAATAAAACCATACAAGCTAGACAAAATATACAAAATATCCTTGGAAGGGATTAGAAAATAAGCATAAAATAACCAATGCAGTCAGGAAATGAGGAGCTACAATCTTTGAAAAAAGGGAAGTACATAGGGGAGCTCCAGCCTCGATTTTTTTCTGAATGTACTGTCCAAGTTTTGGCTCAGAAGAATTGAGCCCATGCAGAAAGCAGAAATCTTACTGGGCGAAAAACACACAGGTAGGATTCAGCGCCCCCAAAGTGGCTGGGACTTAAGGGCCTAAATACTGAAGAGAAGGAAACGACAAAGAGCCAAAAACCTGCACAGATTTCTCTAAAGTCACTGGCTGACTCCACTGTGCAAGCACAGGGTGAGACTCCAATAAACCTATTAAAAGACAATAGCTGACAGCAATAAACTGAGAGAAATTTCAGTGGCCCCGTAAGTGCTGGGAAATAAATAGAAGTTAGAGTCAAAACCTTGCTTACATATAGGGGCTTGGTAAACACCCTTGCTTCTAACTGAAGCCTCAGAAGAGCTATACCTTACAGGAATAAAGGCTGTGCCCCAGGAGAAAGGACAATATCCTAAAGACCTTACCCTAGGAAAAAAAAAAAGGCAAAACTACAACAGACTAATATTAATAAAGCTTAAAACATGGCTCAGTGGGGGATCAAAGTGACCCACCAGTATTGTCTACAAGAAAAAAACTTTTCTGGAGAAAGGTAACATCATTCAAAGCTTCTACAATTTTTAATTTGCACAATCCAGCATTGAATAAAAAATTATGAGGCATGTTAAAAACAAACTGGAACTGAACTAAATAACCAAAACCAAAAAGAAAAAAAAAAGTCAACAAAAACTCCATATGATTCAGATAACTGGACTATCAGATGGGAACTTTAAAGCAACTGTGACTATGGGGAAGGCAGACAGCACAGAGAAGACAAATAGTGACTCGATAGCATCTTATGTTGAAGGACAGTGACTGCAATGGGGCATGTGGGGGTACTTGATAATATGGGTGAATGTAGTAACCACAATGTTGCTCATGTGAAACCTTCATAAGATTTTATATCAATGATTCCTTAATAAAAATAATAATAAAAGAAATAACTGAATAATATGGTATAGACAATAAAATAGGTGAAAATAGAGAATTTCAATTGATTCTATATGAATAATAAAACAGAGTCTAGAACTGATTTAAAATTGATTAGAAGACTTCATTAGCAGACCAGATGTCTTAATCTGTTTGGGCTAGTGTAATAGACCACAAATAGGGGACTTATAAAAAACTGCGGAAGTCTCACAGTTCTGGAAGTCCAAGATCAGTGTGCTGGCAGATTCAGTATTTGGTGAGAGCCTTGGCTCATAGACAGCTACCTTTTTGTTGTAACCTCACATGAAGGAAGGGCACCAGGAAAGAGACTCCGGAGTCTCTTATATGGGCACTCATCCCATTCACAAAGGCTCCATACTTATGACCTAGTCTGTGCTTCCTGTTGGATATTTTTTTACCTGTTCCCTTTCAGTAATTCTAATGCCATATCCAGTGCTATAGACAGTTTGTGTCCCCCTAAAATTCATATGCTGAAATTCTAACCACCTTTCAATTCTTAAAGATGGGGCCTTTGAGAG